ACCTTCCTTCCCTGCGAGTGACGCTGAAGGCCGCAGGGGCGGTTGCGTGGAGGGTGTTGTGGCGAGTGAAGGAATGCCAGCCGGGTCCCCAGCCCTAGGTCTCAGAAAGGTGGGTCTAGGTGGCCCTTTGCCACCCAGCATGTCCCTGCGTCCCGCAGACACACCCAGGCACCGTGGCCTCCAAGCCACGTCTCCCGTGCTCAGACCCGGCCTCTACTCCGTGCGAGTCCACACGTCCTGCAGGCATGGCAAGTCCAGCAGGCCCCAGTGACCGTGACCCCCTCACGGGCGCCACCCCCGCCAACTGCCGTCCCCCTGTGGGCCTTACTCAGGGGGCAGCCCCGGCCCCGCTGCTCAAGTTGCTGCCTGTGCAAGCCCTTCCAGCAAGCCCCGCTGGAGGTCAGTTCGGGGAGAAACCTGGGCACTTTGGGGTTTTCTCCACCTGCTGAGCTGCCTTCTTGATCAGTCACCCGGGCGGGCGCAGGCACCCATGGGAGCCCCGGATGCCTGTCCTCCACGTGAGTTTCAGAGGACACACAGCCCGACTCCACCCGCTGGCCTCAACCCCCTTCCGCCTGTGTTCCAGCCACGGGCCACTGCCGCCCTGGTCCATGCGGCCTCCGTCCAGCCTCACAGCTCGGCTGCCAATGGAACACGTCCCTCTCGTCCCACGTCGGCCTCTCTGCCAAACTCCTGCTTAAATGCCACCGCCTCACTCTAAGAACCCCATCCCTCTGCAAAACCCTACCCGATGCTCTTCCTTCTACGGTTCCAGAAGTCTTCATGCATGCCTCTTCTACTCAAAAAGCGCACATCCGCTATGTTCCCGTGTCCTCTTGCCTGGAGCACCCTGAGACAGAAGACATATCTGGTCCATTTCCATTTCTGGCATCCTGCCACAGTGCACAGCCCGTGGCAGGTGTGCTGATGTCTCTTGGATGGAATGTTCAGGTCTGTGGACCAAGAGTCACTTTTTAATAAAAAGTGTGTCCCCTTCACCCTCCTGCCTTCCCACCTGTCACCGCTGACACCTCTTTCGCTCAGCAAGTGCGTCATCGAAAGATCCCCAAAGTAAGACAGAAAAATTAGCCGGGCACGGTGGCATGCGCCTGTCGCCCCAGCTACTCGGAGGCTGAGGTGGGAGGATCGTTTGAACCCGGAGTTGGACGCTGCAGTGAGCTAAGATCACACCACTACATTCCAGCCTGGAGCAAGACGCTGCCTCTAAAAAAATAAAAAGACCCCCACGCGACTGAAAGTAGAAACTTCCGGTAACAACACGGCTTCTCAGTCATGCACCACAGTCAGTCAACACAGAGGCCTCTTGGGGAGAGTACAGTTTATTAATAATACACAGCGCGGCACGCCAACAGGCGCCAGTCTGGGGTAAAACCAGGTGAAAAGGTAGAAAAACCTCTTCGTAAAGCAGAAAAGTCATGTGAAGCTACTACAAAATGGGGCCAATGGACAGAAAAACTAGTATTTTCATGGCAAGTTTCTTTCCATAAAATTCTTTATGAATTAAATACATTGCGAAACACAGCAAAAACATATTTACAGTCATTTAAAATGGGCACTACCAACATATTTAATTTAAAAAAATCTTTCCTGCCTCTTTGCCTGTTTCCTTCAAGGAGAATTTTAAATACGACTTTAGTTTTTAAAAAATACAATAAGGAAATAATTACATTCTTAATATGAAAACATCTTACAACTTATAGCCATAGTCAATTAATTCTGAATATCTAGTTTGACATGTGAAAGTTTAAAGTGAGTATTTCCTTTCTTGTTAGAAAAATCAAATAAAAAAGATCATCTTATTAAAAACACCTTTGGTCCCTAAGACTTACAAACTGAAGATCCCACTCTGAAACTATCTTCCATGCCCACGGAGGGAAATACCTGCCAATACTTGCCCACTGTCGAGCCGAGCTCTTCTGGAAGACCAAGGCCGGAATCGTTTCGCAACATGATGCCGGCACTTGCAAGCTGTTGTTTGCCTTCCTCTGAGAACGAGAAACTGCCCTACTCTGGCCCGGGCATCCGCAATGGAGTGGTTTGTGTTCCTTCCATGACGCGGCGCCATGTGTTTACAGCGTGGATATTTGAGTTTATTTCACAGTATGAACCCAGCCCGCCGTGGGGATCGCTAAGACAGTCATGGCAGGAACAGCAAAATGACCCTCTTTAAGACTCTGTCCGGAATTAGAAGTTATTGCTCCCATTTTAAAAAATCATCCTAGAAAAACGAGGAGGAAGGCTACAGCTCAACTTTTCCACGTTGCCATGACCTTCGTATGAATATACATCAAGGAGCATCTTGTCTGCTGATCTGGGAGAGGCTATTGAGAGGTTTTAGCATCTGCTGGACGGCAGGGGCTCCCAGTGAGCTTGGTGTCAGCCCGCGCAGGGCACAGATGGCTGCAAAGTCATGTCCCTCTGCTCTGGGCGGGGCGCCCTGCTGGAGCCTTGACGCCACCCACCCTAGGAAGGCTTCTAAGGGCACAGGTTAGGTGGTTACCCAGAACATCGCCCAGGGCACGAGGTGTGCAGGCCAAGCTTGCATCCCCCAGACGGCGGGTGAGCAGAGGCCAAGGTCTCCTCTGGAAAGATACAAGATGTGACCACAGCTCGTGGTTTTGTGACAGCCTCCACGCCCAACCCTAGCTTCAAAGCTGTCCTCTGAAACCTGCACACACGCTCCAGACTGTGGCCACGATGACGGCGGGTCTGAATCACCTTCCTGGGGTGGCAGAGCTAAGGACATGTCCAAGCATGGCCAATCCCCACCTTTTGGAGCCGTTTGGCAGTTTAGAAAGAGCCCCAAACTCCTTTCGGACAAGCATGACGCATTAAGTGGGGTGTCAGGCAAGGCAACACCGAGGTGTAGGCCCGGAGGGGACACAGTGGGTGTTCCCACAGGGCTGGTAACCAGTCAGTCCCCACAGAAGGGTTCTGGAAGGTTCTATGGACACAGCAGGCCCACACTCCTCCAGGTGGGTCCATCTGGACCCCACACCAGTCTCCTACAGCCATGCCACTGCTGCTTCTCTGGGGCAGACGGGACAGCCCTGCCCAGGCCCCGACGGAAGCCAGGCAGAGGAACCACGGCCCGTGCCTGTGCCCAAGCCGGGGGACCAAAGCGAGCCCTTTAACCATTTTAGTTGCTTCCACGAAGAAGGTTGCCTTGTGAATTAAAAACGTTATAAAAATACAAAACCGGAAACAACTCTGAAGGTTGACGACCTCTTATCAAAACACCGCCGGGAGCAGATCCCTGAGGAGTGACACCATGGTGGGCGTTAGTTACAACCAAGGGGATCCGATGCCACAGGGGAGGCCACCTCGCCCGACCTGTCCTCTAGCCAGGGCCCCCGGCCTCACGATCTGGCCAGCATTCGACACCAGCGCTCATGGCCTAGGAAGGTGCCTGTCTGCTCAAGCAAAGGACAGCGCTGCCAAGGAACCCGGCCTCCGGGGAGCCTGGCCGCGCCTCTGGCCCACGCAGGCTGGCTTCGTAGCGAAACAAGATGGTGGCATCGTGGCTGCCCTGGGGCCAAAGGGCTGCTGGTGCCTGGGGCATGCCTTGGGAGGGTAATAGAAGGAGATCACTGTCAGAATTCTGACCAGATGTCTCACGTGTGTCTGATATGTACAGATATAACTTAAAAACTATATTTATTGAACATATACAAATAAATAACTTATTTTGAAGCAAATGCTTTAAAATAACTTTCTGGTCAAATACAAAATTTTAAGGGGAAGGAATTCGGTGCTGGGGCCTCGTCTTCCTTGGACCACTCTCCACGGCTCCGTGGGGTAGAGCGGGATTCAGCCGAGTCCACCATCCTCTTTAAAAGGCGTATGGCTATGAAGATGGATTAGAAACCTGGGCTTTTAAAACACACACGCACGCTGGGACCTAGCACCACTGAGCTGAGTCCATGGCAAGACACTCCGAAAGCTTCAAGGTCCCAATCTGCAAAGTGTCAGAGCTGACTGGGGCGGCCCCTCCGGGAACGCGGGCCCCGCCCAGTCTCTGGGTCACAACCGAGAACTTGGGCTGGTCGTTTTCCCTCTTCCTTTCGCCACAGGCAAGCCTGGCATGGTTCTCTGGCAGAGAAGACTGCCTGCCAGAAGGGGCTGGGAGCCTTGATTTGAGAAACTTTGCCTCAAGGGCAGCAAAGATCTATGGGCGATAACTGTTGTCTTCCCTTTACAAAAAACCAGCTTCATGGCATACGAGGTGGCCACAGCTTCCTATGGTGATAAGGAAAACAGTCACCCAAGAGCGCCCTGGCTTGCAGTGCTGGGGACAGGCCCCAGCATGAGGCTCCCTGCCTGGACCCCCTGGGGGGAGGCCGACGCGACCAGGGCTGGTGCAGCGGGCTTCCGTGAAAAGCTGGGAACCAGGGAGCTTCGGGCGGCAGCCCCAGGTCAAAGTTCATGAACCAAAATGCTCCTGGAAGACGGCGTTGCAACACAATTAGGTCTCAGGGGGCTCAAGCCAAGCAGCTTCCGACTCTTGCTGCAAAACTTTCTTAAGCACCGGAGACCACTTTCCTGCTCTAGCAAGGAAAACCAAATGTGGCCCTGGTGGGGCCCGAGTGCCATGATATGGAACATGAGTCCCAGCTAGAAAGGCCGTGGGCGGTACGGCTGACCCCAGACCTGAAGGCGCGTCTGGGGAACACTCAAGGCTGTGTCTCCTGCCATCTCCCACGCCGTTCGGGAGGAACGTTCTAGATGGTGGGCAAAAGACCTGCGCCGAGGGTAGCATCCCTCGGCTCTACGTTTCAGGAAAAAGGGCCCAGGCGTGTGTTGTGACCAGCCCCCACGGTCCGCCTGCAGCAGTTTTGGGGTGGCTTGCTCGTTTCCTTATCCCTGACGGCGGCTGCCCACAACGGAGAGTCCTGACAGTGCCCTCTGGAGACCGAGAGGTTCACCTGCTTCCTAAACTCACAGGGTGGAAACCAGCCCAACTCTGAATTCTCTTTTTCTCTGCAAGTCTGAACTCTCCGAGGAGTACTGCACGGACGGCAGCGAGGACTCGGATGGAGGGCCCATCCCGGACCTCCCCTGCCGGGGAGACGCAGCAAAGCCAAGGCCATGGGCCCATTCGTGGTCGAAGTTTACAGACGGGAGGGAGGGGGACAGGCAGGAAGCCCTGGAAGGCCCACTCTCCCTCGGAGAGACCGCAATTCTGTCACTGGACAAGGTCCCAAACCCACTCCCCCTTCAAAGGCCTGCCCTGACCGCACACGTCAGTGTCCTGTGAACGGACCCCCCTCCCTGCTGCCTCGTCCCGAGGAGCCCCCGCCAGCGCTGACAAGTCGGAAGGACCGGGGACATCAGGCCGAGGAGGGCACCCTTCAGAGAAGCACTGAGATACTCTGCTGCCTGTCAAAGCAGCACAAAAATTAATAAAATAAGATACGGGGTCTCTGAAAAACTCTCGGATCTAAGTGTGACACACCATAGAAAGACATTTTCAAGAAAGGTTAAAAAGAATGGCAGCTTTTCACGTCCTGGTGACAAAAGCGTCTGTCCAAAAAGTAAGAAAGTTAAAAGGTAAGAAATGCTTCACAGCATCATTTTTCATGCCTCTAGCTCTAGAGACCAGGGGACGGGGCACGTGGCGGGGGGGGCACCGAGACGCACAGTCCCATGGCGGCTCCATAGCCCCCAGTCCCCCCGGCCCACATACTAGGCAAGCTCGGGCCGCGCCGGCCACACGCATGCCCAGAGCAGACGCAGGAACAGCCGGGGCCCGAGCTGGTCCCGCCTAATCCCAAGGTCTCCTCCGGGGTCAGTCCAGGGCTGGGCTGAAATTGGCGAGAGCCACGGTTTGCTGGTCGCTTCACCTGGTGTAGCACCTGCCATGACGCCTTCCTGCTCTCCCCCACTTTTTGTAACCAATAGAGTTGGGAACCAAAGTCTTACAAGTAAACGTTTTTCAAGGACATCAATATACAGTAGAAAGAATCCTGGGGGCCGGGTCAACGTGTGGGGATCAGAACTGAGTCGCCGAGCCTCCGGGTCACACGGCCTGAGGCCAAGCTGGGCGGAGCTTCCAGCGGTCGCGCGGGTGAGGATGTGGGCGAGGGACACGCGGTCTCGGTCCTGGCTGTCCCCTAGGTTCCGTTCTTCAGCTCCCACTCCTAGAGAAGAAGAGAGTCGGGTGAGGGGCGTGGCAAGATTGCGGGCTGCAGCCAGGCACACCCCCCACGGCCTCTGGCGTAGCCACAGGGGCGTGGCCGTGGCGCCTCAGAAAGTCAGACGCGGACTCAGTCGCCAGGTGACCCAGCAATCCCGCTTCCAAGCATCTGCCCAGAAGAACGGGAAGCAGGTCTCCCGCAGGTACCGGCACACCTCTGTTCACAGCAGCCTGGTCATGACAGCCAGGTCGTGGAGGCCACCGGGTATCCATAGATGGAAGAACGGTCCCACGAAAGGTGGGCCAGCCACACAAGGGAACACTGTCCCTCCAGCCTTAAATGGCAAGGGCGTTCTGACAACATGGGTGAACCCGGAGGCCAGGAGGATCTGACTGGCAAGAAGCCCGTTGCCCAAGGGCAGGTGCTGTGTGATCCCACTCGGATGAAGTCCCCAGAGTCACCAGGTCATGGAGACAGAATGCAGAACGGCGGGTGCCGGGGATGGGGACGAGGCATCTGCCCGGAAAGCTGCAAGTTCTAGAGGCGGCTGGTGGTGATGGCGGCCCAGCAGCGCGGACGTGCTTGGCGCTGCACAGGCTCGCCCTCAGTTCTCGCCCCGCCCTCCTCCCAGGGTCCCCAGCACCCAGTGCGGCTGCACAGAAGACGCCGAGCCTGGGCCACCACAGTCTCTGGGGTGACGTGGCTGTGCAGTGGGTTCTGCTGTGAGACTGAGCCACGGGGAGAGGAGGAGGCAGAAGGGCGGACCAGGCCAGAGTAGGAGCTGACGTCACACGAGGCGCGGCGTTGGAGCCAGGCCTCCTGTGGCCCGGCTGCTGTGGGGCCTTGGAAAGGTCGTTTGCTCTCTCTGAGCTGTGACTCATGTGAGTCCCATCAAGGACGTCAAAGGTTCCAAAGCATCATCGGGAAGATCAAAGAGGAGCGTGTGTGCGTCCCTCCCACAGGGCCCGGCCTACCTAACCTAACAGGGCTCTGCTCCTTTGTGCTGGGTGACCCTGTATGATGCGGTATCCAGCACAGATGTCGGACCCCCTGCATGATTCCAGGGGCCCACTACCCAGGTGGCAAGGGTGCTGCGTGTCTCTGCGTGCATGCAATTAAACATTCCTCACCTTCTCTAGGACCAAAAGCCCCAGTTTGACTCATGGTTAGATGCACAGCGTTGGCAATTACAGCAGAAACAAAAGGCAAAACTGAGCTACCCTGGATGACAATGAAAACACACACACACGAGGCTGTCTGATGCTTTGCTGAGGCATTCTGCAGGCAGGTGTCCAGCCAGGGTCCCGCCTCGCCTTCCCATCCCTCCCACAGCCTTCCTGAGACATCAGGATGGGATAAACAGAGAGGGTGCTCGGGGGACACAGGCGTGGGTCAGCGCTGATGGCATCTTCTCTATACAGTTCGCCAATTCACTCCCAGACAGCGGTGGCTTCAGAGAGAAGATACACAGGGGTCACCAAATATGCTCAGCCAACAAGCTCAGCAAATGTGACAATGTTCCCAAGCACACGGGTCACACAGGCCATGGAATGGGAGTGGCCGGATGGGAACCCACGGACATCACCGACTTGAGCAGGCCAGGAAGCAGACGCCCAGGTGAGTACATCACTCAAGACAGGGCCCAAAACCTCTGGAGCCGCCCAGCACCCGCCCCCTGGGCACTGCCAAGAGCAGGACTGCAGCCACCACACCAGGCACCTCTCGGCATGTGACCTTGACAGGCGGAGGGAAGGGGCACGCTTCCCATGAGGAGCTGGGCCTCGTGGCCCATCTGACTCCCTCCTGAGTGAAGAAGCCCCGGGACGTGTGGCCAGAAGCCCTCTGGCCTCCCCCGTGTCGGGGGTATCTTCCGTCCAGAGGTGGGAACGGTTCCAGGAATACTGTGCCTGGGATAACATTCCCACATCTGGAACACGGCAGACTCCCCTGGTCGTCGAAGGTTGGGGAGCAGATGAGATCATGCTTGTGATGCACCCCAGGTGCATTCACATCCTCAGGGTGCAACGGCCACGGCACCACCCTCATCTCAGCGGTGGTCCCTGTCACTGCTCTCAGAAACCCAGGAAACCCTGTTCCATCCCTTCCCTCAGTGCAGCAGTGCTCAAGATCCCCGGCAGACAGCAGTAGCTGCTGTTGCTGTGTTTCCTGGACCTATGAGCTGGGACAGCTACACCCTCCGTGAGGGTGGCCTGGTGTGAGCGGTGGGCTGTGAACCTGACACGGGCTGGAATCACACACTTCACGTCCATCATAAAAAACCGGCAGGGGCGGAGGAGTGCTGGAGACTCTGGGCGGGGACCAGGGGCACCACTGTCCACAGAGCCCTTTGGGCACATTCGTGAGGTGCACTTTCTTTTTTTTTTTTTTGAGTTGGAGTCTCACTCTGTCGCCCAGACTGGGAGTGCAGTGGCCGCTCCCGGCCACCGCAGCCTCGACCCGCTGGGCTCCGGCGATCCTTCCGCCTCAGCCTTCCAAGCAGCCGGAATTACAGGTGTGCGCTACCACGCCCGGCTAATTTTTGATCGATTGTAGAGATGAGGTCTCGTCAAGTTGCCCAGGCGGCTCTCGAACCCGCGGGCTCAAGTAATCCACTCACCTCAGACTCCCAAGGTGCGGGCTTGCAGGCTGAGCCACCGAGCCCGGCTGGTGCACTTTCTTTGAGGGCAAAGACACCATCTGCAAGTCCTTTACCGGGCAGCCCAGGTCTAAATGTTCCCCCAAAGCATACTTCTCTGTAAATGAGCCCACTGGCCAAACTCAACACCTGGTGGGTTCTCGGGAGAGAGGCAGAAAGGACACACAGTGATCCCTCCTTCCCCAAATTTACCACTACAGGCACTGCCCCACATATGAACTTTTAAGTTACAAATGGTAACGATGCACAAATGTTGACCCTTACAACCACTTCTCACACCAGGACCTCCCTTCCAAAAGCATGCATTTCCAGCCAACTTGGAATTAACCTCGGAAATTCTTTAAACCCGACTTCGGGTTTATCTAAGCCAACTGACTGGTAAACTGGAAACTGTGGTTTTTTTTGGTTTTTTTTTTTTTTGAGTTGGAGTCTCACTCTGTCGCCCAGACTGGAGTGCAGTGGCCACTCCCGGCCACCGTAGCCTCGACCTGCTGGGCTCCGGCGATCCTTCCGCCTCAGCCTTCCGAGTAGCCGGAATTACAGGCGTGTGCTACCACGCCCGGCTGATTTTTTTATTTATTGTAGAGATGAAGTCTTGCTGCCCAGGCGGGTCTCGAACCCGCGGGCTCAGGCAATCCACTCACCTCAGCCTCCCAAAGGCGTGAGATTACAGGCTGAGCCACCGAGCCCAGCTTGGAAACTGTGTTTAAGAGATTTCTGAGATGTCTGAGTTTGGCATCTCACTGTGGGTGGCCAACCTACGAGAAGCCTGACACTTCAGCAAGACTGAGCTGTGTTTCTCCAGCACCGCAGGGCCTGGACCCATAAGCCCGAGGCTGCAGAGGGGGCTGGAGGGAAAGCTCACTCCTGAACTTTTTCTTTCTGTTCTTGTACAGAACCACACACCTACATGCTGGAGAAGCCCCAACGGTCGCCTGGCCCAACCTCTGTCCTGCCAATGAGTCCAGGGCAGTCCAGATCCCTGCCCGTTTCTGAGAGGCAGCCAGCGCTGCCCGTCTTCCCTGAGGCTACACGGAAAGCCCCAAGGCGAGGAGTCTGGGGCTGGGGGCTCTTCTCTGGCCCGAAGGCGGGTCTGCCGCATGGTGGGATCTCGGTGCCTGTTCCTGGACACCCAGAAGGCAGACTTGCCTCTCCTCCTATGTGAAAAGGCTGAGAGCGTCAGGCGCGGAGGCCGCCCACCCCACCCCGGATCAGCGCCATGTGGAGACGGGGCTCACCTTGGCCTTCCGCAGCACGTGCCCGCGGCGGGGGGAGCTGCCCGGGGCCGGCGGGCTCCTCCGCAGGACGGCCGCGCTGTTCACGGGCACGGGGCCCTCCGCATCACTCGTGTCGCAGCTGGAGATGGGTGAGTTTTCCAGAGTCCGATGCCTGAACACTGGAGACTGTTAACAGAGAGAGGGAACCCCAGTGAGCAACGGCTTCAGGCCAGGACTTGCCGGCAGAAGACGGCTTCTTTGAAGGAAGAAATAGGTAAAAATAACAAGAAGGGCCGCAGTCAGTGCTGAATCCTCAGGGGACCTTAAAACACCCACTTCACAGACAGAAAGGAAGAGGCCCCAAGGGCGGCTCTGACTCACTGGTCCTGGGAAGGAGTGAAGTGGGGACCTGCATCCACAGCCCTCGCATCCAAAGCTGGGCCTTCGCCCAGATCGAGGCTTCCCTCAGCCAGGGCCCTGGACACACCCCGCAGAGGCCATGGTGACCAGGATCAGCGCCAGGGCCTGGGGCCAGCCCTGCACACGGCCATGGGGGAAGCACAGGCACTGGTGCCCCGAGGCTCCCTGACTGTGCCGCAGTTTACATATGCCAAGAGGCTTTCCAGAAGGCTCCACACAGAACGCCGGCATCCTCCGCGGCCAAGGTCCTGTGTGTGGCTCTTCCATACGGGAGAGCAGACTGTTAGCTGGGAAGAAACACCAGGCGGCCATGCCTCTGCCAAGGCAGTCTCCGGGAACACACGCTTCCTGCCGTCACTGCCAAACAGGCTCTGCGGGAAGCACGGCTCATGGAACAGAGAGTGCTGTTCGGTGGCCATTCCAGCAGGAGCGCAGGGTCCCTGTGGGGCTTCCTGACCACGGACCCCCAAGCAGCCCGGCTTCACTAGGCTCCAGCTGTCCTTGGAGGTGCTTTAAAGGGGCAGAGCAGCCTGGGAGGGGCAGGGAGCGTAGTGGTTGAGAACAGGACAGAAGAACAACAGCAGCATCTGTATCTGGGAGCGGCCAGGCCGGCCGGTGGACAGAATGGCACGTGACCCACATCTGCAAGGGGCTTCCTGAAAAGAGGATGCAGCCCAGGAGAGTGATGCAGATGCCACGCCCACATCTGCATCATTGGGGGCAGAAGAGGGCATCCAAAGAGCCGAGAGACCCTCAAGAGAGACGAGACAGGAGGCACGGCGGGCTGGGAGGGGGACGGGCACCAAACCCATCTTGAGCTTCCAAGGACAGGGATGGGCTTAGCGACCTCAGCCGCGGGAAAGCAGCAGGGAGGGGGAGCTGCCACTGCCGGGGCTGGGGCACTCCAGAGAGAGGCGGGGAGAAAGAGGGTGGGCTCCCCTTCTGGGGAACTGGGCCGGGGGGTGGAGTAGAGCTGGAGCAGGGGTAACCAAGGTGCCGCTGGATCTGAAAGGCAGGGTCACCGCGGTGACAGAAGTGCCCCTGGATCTGGACAGTGGGGTCGCTGTGATGACCGAGGTGCCATGAGAAGCCAACCTCCAGCAGACGCAGGCGTGAGCAGGCAGGGCTGAACCCTGTGAGCACGGACACTGCTTCCGGAAGCTCCACTTGGAGGGGAGGCCAGGAAGGGTGGGGCGGCAGGATGGTCACGGAGGGGAATGTGGGCCAAGGCCACGCTTTTAGAGAATGAGACGGGCAGTTGAGGGAAACTGCCAGGGGAGGGAGGGGCACGCCTCATCAACAAGGGCACCTGCATGGTCAAGCTCTGGAGACCTAACCCTGAAATGGACCCCACATCTTCATAATAAAAGTTAAAAACAACAACAGCAACAAAGAATGAGCCAAACTAGAGAATTTCTACGTGCTTTGCTTTGCAGGAAGCTACGGAGAAAAACACAAGACTCAGGAAAGGGCCTCCCAGGTGTCTGAAGTCGGGGAGGGAGGGAGCAGGACATGCCCGCAGACAGGGAGGCCCAGCCCCACACTCGATGGGCCCAGAGGATGAGGACTGGGGATGGGACAGCTCCTCAGGCCACCACCCATCCGCCCGCTAAGGGCAGGAAGCTCGCACTCCCGACCCAGATCCCCACAGCAAGGGCCACGGGGCCCAGACCTCGCTGCCCCAGGGAAGCCCCCGCCCAGCACTGGCCAGTGCTCACAGCCACTGCCACTCTTCAACTGCCACTGACCTCCTCACGCCCCTGGCCGGTTTATGTCGGTCCCTGAAGGGCCCAGGATGCCCAAGCCACCCCTCCAGACCATGGCTTCTAATTCTCACTGCACCCAACCCCCCGCCCCTGCATGACTGCTCTCCAGAGATCTGTCAACATCTGATGTTGATGTGCTTGACTGCTTTTCCTGCCCTCATGAGGATGTAAGCCCCAGGAAACAGGGGTCCTCACCTCCCATGCTCACAGCTGTGGGCCTGGAACAGTTTCTAGCTCACAGAAAGGAACAGCACGTATGGGTTGGGAATGGTGGCTCACACCTGTAATCCCAGTGTTTTAGGAGGCCAAGGTGGGGGGATCACTTGAGGTCAGGAGTTGGAGACTAGCTTAGCAACATAGCAAGACCCAGTCTCTATAAAAAAATTTTAAAAATAAAAAAAAAATGAGCCGGGCACAATGACATGCAGCTGTACTTCCAGCTACTGAGAGGCTGAGGCAGGAGGCTCTCTTGAGCCCAGGAGTCCAAGGTTGCAGTGGGCTATGAGGGTGCTACTACACCCCAGCCTGGGCCACAGAGCAAGATCCTGTGTCTAAAAAGATTAAAATAAGCCGGGCTCGGTGGCTCAGCCTATAATCCCGCGCCTTTGGGAGGCAGAGGTGAGTGGATTGCCTGAGCCCGCGGGTTCGAGACCCGTCTGGGCAACTTGGCGAGAC